AAGAGAATCACCTAAGCCACAGCACTCTAAGGAGGGTGATAAAGTAAAACTCTACAAAAAAAAAAAAACAGGTATTGGACACTCACTCTGGTTACTTTCACCTGTGCCAGGTGACAAAATCTGATGCAAAGCAATGATTGGCTTTGGTCTCAGAACTGAATTTGAGTATCAGCTATGTGATCCAGACCAGGCTCCTCAAATGTAAAATACCTACCCTGCTGGGTTACTGTCAGGACTAAACATGATTATCTCACAGGGAGTACCAGGTTCAGTGCCTGGCACATGGAGGGTATTCAATTATTATTAACAGTCACCATTTACTACACTTCTGCTGTGTACCAGGAACTGTTCTAGATATTTCAATAGATTACTGTAACTACCCCAGCAAGCCTATCAATTAGGAAGAAACTAAAGTTCAGAGAAATTAAGTAACTTTCCCAAGGTCACACAGCAAATATGTGGTAGACACACCAGCAGGGCTGTAGCACTTCTGTGCATACTTTTCCCATCATATTCTACTACCTCTCAATCAATGTTGTTTCCCTTACTCTGTTGTCTTGGATCCAAGGGATTTCTGGGGGTTAATAATTTTTCTTTATAAAACACCGGGTGAACTTGGTGGTGGGGTGAAGAAAATTTCAAGTAAATAGTCATCAGAAATAAAGCTTATCAAGGGAAATGGTTCAGGGACATGCTTGAGAAAACATCATTTCAAATAAGTTCCTATGTCAGCTTTCTTAAACTTACTCCTTCACATGTTATACCAGACTGAAGGATTTCTGAAGTGGGATGTATGTACCCCTGGGTGAGTGAGGTATTTGTTGGAGGGAAAAAAATTCTCCTTATGAAAAAACTTCTACTTTGTTTTATAATTAAGTGTAATAGCATATGTATTTAACTTATTATACACTCACAGATGGGTGGTCAGAAATTCTATGACACAGGGCCGACAAAAGAGCTGAAACAAGTGCACTGTGTCACCTTCCTTACTCTGACCACACTTTCAATGTCACATACAAATGAGCAGTTACAGAGACCACGAGAAGGACTGAGTAGCTACTAATCACCATCTTTGACAGGGTGCTTGCTCAATCACTGTATATTCCAGTGGTTATTTGCCCTATTTTATAAAATGGCAAACATGAAAGTGCTGACAGTAAATGATTACTATCAGTCCCAAACTTAATACAGAAAGATGGAAATGTCAAAAAAGTCAAGAGCAGATTTTTAGCCACAATAAACTATCCCTGTGTCAACTGTGGGTTCAACTGGGAAGGAACTGAGATAAAATTAAGGACTATGCTGAAAATACACAATCAATAACTGCCTCTGAAAAACGAGGCAGCAACAGATTTTGAATTTGTTTAGCATTCTTGGCAGAAAACCTTCCTTTTACACGTAGGTTTAGTTTTTGGCTTGTGCATTGTGTTCAGAAATACCTTACTACAAAATAAGAGGACTGACTGCAAGTAGCAAAACAGAATTTCCTCCAAAATTACCCAGAGGCAATCAGGAGTTCATTCTAAAGCCCACAGTAGAACTGATTCATCAACACCCCTGGGGTCTACATTTTCCTTCCTCCTACTGCCTTGCTCTGGAAACAAAAAAAGAAAAGCTATCTATGTACTTTTCAAATGCTCCAAGGCAGCAAAACTTTTAAAGTATCATATATTATTACATACAGTTTAATTTTAGAGAAATACACATATACCCAAGAAAGTCTCCAGATATTAGGAGACTCAGGTTACAGAACTGGCCATCCAGACTAAACCACTGTATCACTCAGAGAAATCTACACAAATATGGAGAGCCTAAGAATTGGCTAGAGAATCCATCACTTTATTTTCAGAAAAAGATGGCCAAACAGGGAACTGATACAGAGCATTCCAGCAGCACAGCAAAATCAAGTCAGCCATCCAAAAATAAAGGGAATCAAAAACAATGCCAACCAGCTTTCACGCCCACACAGGTAAGTTTCAAGAACACATAAATGATAATCCTAAATCCTAGAGAGAAAAGTAGATAGCACCTTGTGCTTTTCCTTGGCAGGTGGACTGCATCGGTCCAGAGTCGATGGGCTAGTCATTTCATCATTCTAGTTTTTTCATCCTCTAATGCAGGGAAGTCAGTTTCATGTGGAGGCAGTATTGACTTAAAGGGCTTGCTATAGAGGAGATGGGTATGGTGCAGTTCATTTGGGTGACAACAAAGCACTTTGATATACTTAGCAGTCCCACAAGTCTTCCAAGTGGGAGGATCAATGTCCTTCTGATTCCCCACATGGGCAAATTTGAGGCACAGGCGACATAACAGCACAGCTGATCCATGGAAGATGGACAGTGAACCAAGGCCTACTTTCCAGGCTAGTTACTATCCAGGCAAGATAGAAATACTAGACATGAAACATTACATACATTCCATTTTAGCCTACAAGGCTCAAATGTGCCTTCCAAAAACACCCAGAGGAATCCACCGTAAATGATAGATTTTATTTTGAGACAGAGTCTCACTCTGTTGCCCTGTGTAGAGTGCCATTGTGTCATAGCTCACAGCAACCTCCAACTCGGGCTCAAGTGATCCTCTTGCCTCAGTTTTTCTATTTTTAGTAGAGACAGGGCCTCACTTTTGCTCAGGTTGGTTTTGAACTCCTGAGCTCATGTAATCCACCCGCCTCAGCCTCCCAGAGTGTTAGGATTATAGGCATGAGCCACCGCACCTGGGCTAAATGATGGATTTTACAATTTAACTCTCCAAGAAACAGATAAGGAACTCCAAGTGCCCTATCTTCACTGAAGGAGAAGAGGGTGAAGAATCCTTTATAAATACAGTGCAGAGCTCTCCTCACATTTAACCCTCAACCATTATAACCTTTAGGGCCTATAATGAATATACCTTTACAAGGCACCAGCAGGGAGCAGAGCTGGGCTTAGAACATAAGATGACATGATTGCTCAAAAGTCGAAGGAGAGGCTCTCACTTCTAAAACACAGAAAAAGACAAAACACAGAAGAGGCAAAGGCAAGGAAGACAAGGAGAGGCAGGAGAGGGACTGATTTATAAACAGCAGGCCTGCTTGTTCTGCACAGGCAATATAACATGGCTGAGCTACATGAGCAGAACTTTGGAAAATGAAATTGATTTACCTCTCAACCTTGGTGGGGTACACAAGGTCTGTGATATGAAATGAAACAAAAGGATTACTTTTGGTCAAGTGTTCCAAAGAGGGCAAAAAGGGAGGCTGGAACCCCTAACACCAACCTAGCAGGTAGTTTCTGCTGTAAACTGAATGCTTATCCACTTAACACACCCAATAAGCAGTCCTAGGGGCACAGTTAAGCAGGGAGTATCTCCTTTGGGGTCCTCTTCCTCAAGAAGCCCTCTTCCTTGAGTCCCCCAGTCTGCCCTGGATCTCCATGAGCCAGGATTTCCATGGACAATGAGCGCCCCTCTCTGCACACCTCCATGCTGATGGCAGCAGAACCATTGAGACCAGCAGCTGAAGTCCTTCCGCCTATGCTGATGCTGGAGTTGATACCGGAACAGTGACAGCCAAATTGAAGAGTTATCCAGTAAAGAAAGGAGGATGACTTCACTAATTGCAAGAAAATAAACTTCTGAGACAGGTGTCCAGTGAATTTCCCAAGAAATTTCCCACTTAGGAGTTCATTTTTAGAACTGAGAACCAGGAACTGAGTTACACACCCACATGTGCTTAGCCGAGAAGGAGGGTGACTTTATTCACAGATTGCTCAAAAATACAGGCTGCAGAGAACAGGACTTGGATTGGCAAACTCTTCTTCTTCACTGCCTACCCTGGAGTATTCGGGCTGGGTGGCAAAATACTGATACTACTTGGGGCAGTTCCCCTAACCCTTGTCCCACATCCACTCCACCCACCCCACCCCATCCACCAGCCAGAAGCTTTATGTCGAGGTTTCGAGGAAAACATCCTGTCCTGGTTTCTCTGTTCCAATGGGCTCTCCAAACATATCCTTGACCTGGGACACAGGCAGAGTTCAAGCCCAGCCTATGTTACATCAGGCTGCTGGTCGCCCTGGAGAGTTTGGAAGAGAAAAGGAAGAAGGTTCCAAACCAAGCTCACTTAAGACAAATCGAGTGTCATGCTCCCCCTAAGTTTACATCTCTACATTAAGAGAATGCAACAAAAATCTTGTTTGTCCTGATTTCTAAAAAACATTTAATGTAAATTTTCTGACCTCTTCCAGGAAAACTCCTGATCGTGTACTTTCTGCTTACAGATTGTAGAGGCGACTGGTATTCTCACGCAAAGCAGCCAAGGTGCGGGAGAGCGGTTGGTCTTTTACCCTGGCAATTTCTCGAACTGTATGCAAGGCCAAACCCGGGTGGGCATACTGGCAAAGGCTTTTGGGAACCTGGAAGACACCAAGAATTCATAACATCACTGTGTCTTCTGTGATAACATAGAAGCATAATACAGAACTCCCTCCCTGTCCCTTCCCCAGCAAGGACCTCTTTGGGGCTGCCCTGTAGAGACCCCTTTACCTGCAGGTGCAGGGAGAGTCCTAGTCATGGGGGCTCTGGGTGAGCAGGGTCCCACGCTTCCTTGGACTACCCTCTACAGGGTAGGGCTTTGCACTGCCTGGAAGAGAGTGGTTACCCTTCAGCTTCTCAGCCCCCTAGACTTTTGGTTCTGTAGAGCAACAATAAGGAGACATCTGCATAGCCCAGGGTGGGACCTAGAAGTCACTGGGGCTCTGGCCCTGCCAACCTTATAAGGGTGACCACCCACCTCCCCACCCTCACCCCTCCAGGCCTCAACTCATCCCAAAGACACCCCTACCTGGCGAGGAAGGAAGTAGGGAGCATCAGTTTCCACAATGATTCTATCCAACGGGATCTTTTTCAGAGCTTCCCGGGCCTCCCAGGCAGAGGAGTATGTCAGGACTGCCGTGAAGCCCACAGACATGTTGGGAAAGTACTTCAACAGGGGCTCAATGACTGGATAGCTGCCAGTGAAGCAATGCCTGGGGGAGAGAACTCCAGGTCATCGATTGCTCATAGTCCCCTCTGCAGCAACCCTAAGCCCCTCTAGCCCTAGTGCCCCTTTTCAATAATTTCCAGATATAGAGAAACTGCCCCCAAGGGATGGCTCTACAATAAATACAGACAACAGCTGGCTCCAACAGAGTAAGAGCCAAGATGACACTGTGTGAGCATTACTCAGCCACCACTCATCACACTGCACTTGAAATGACCACACAAAAACACAGCAATGGTATAGGAGTAGCGTATGCTTATAACAGCAAAAGAAAAGCAGAATGAAAAACCATGGGCCAAAAAGCAAAAAACCAAACAATCAACAACAAAAAGAAATGAAAACCCATGGGCCCTCTTAGACTACAACTAAGTCTAAGAGTACACTGTAAAACTATGCCAGTGTAATCAAATGAAGTGAAAGGAAACAAAAAATTGAAATACTCGGAAAGGTAATCCCCCAGCTCCCCTCCAGGCCTCAACTCATCCCAAAGACTATTTCCATAGTCCCACTTATAGGTGAATTTTCTTTTCTTTTTCTTTTTTTTTTTTTTTTTTGAGACAGAGTCTCACTACACCACCCTCGGTACAGTGCCGCTGCATCACAGCTCACAGCAACCTCAAACTCTTGGGCTTAAGCAATTCTCCCATGTGGCTGGGACTACAGGTGCCCGCCACAACACCCAGCTGTTTTTTGGTGGCAGTTGTCATTGTTGTTTAGCAGGTCAGGGCCAGGCTCAAAACCACCAGCTTTGGCTTATGTGGCCAATGCCCTACTCACTGAGCTACAGGCGCCAAGCCATGGATGAATTTTCTTCTCTTAATTTGATACCCATTCATGTTCTTAGTACTATATATGTTTATTAACCAATTTGGAAATTCAGGGCTTTCTCAAACCGTAACACCTTTTTGGGCCATCTCAGCCCTAGTCTACTGGCCACCATTACATTTCCTTTAAAGGCAGCCCAAAATAAAGGGATGAAAAGCTAGCCAAAGCCAGGAGATCCAAGTGACCACCTCACCGTTGGTGCACAGCCCACAGCCAGGGGGTCAGAGCTTTCACTGGCTCTGCTTAGGCAGCCCCCTCCTCCCTGCCCACTGCCAAGGGTTCTGGACAGTGTTTTTCAGTTAACTCAGCAGTTCTCACCCCTCAGGAACTGTATTAAAGGGTTGTGGCATTAGGAAGGTTGAGAAACACTGATTTAACCCCTCTCTCAGTCTTTTTTTTTTTTTTTTTTTTGCAGTTTTGGGCCAGGATTAGGCTTGAACCCGCCACCTCCAGCATATGGGGCCAGTGCCATACCCCTTTGAGCCACAGGTGCCGACCCTCACTCATCTTTAAGGAGCGAGCTCAGGCATCACCTCCTAATGCCTCTCATCAGGCTGAACTGGATGGCCTTTGCTCTGACTCTCAAAGCACCTGGGCCCACCTCAGTCCCACACTCCATGTGCACAGAAGCCACCAGCAATCTTTCTTGGCAGCATCTCCAGATGTTCCCAGAGCAAAGCCAATGCCCCTTGTAGGGCATACATGTGGTAGAGTTAGGAGTTCACAGAGAGTTTACCAAATTGAACTTAAACTCCTAGATGCCAGTTAGATAAAACACATCCTCCACTTTAATGATTAACTGAAGGGAAAGAAGCTTTTAAATTCAAAAATGGAAAGAAAATGTCTTTTCAAGTACCTTAAAATGTTCACTGTGTGCTAAACCACTGGACCCCATAGAAGTTGCCCCAAGAACAGTCCTCATTTCTTTTTTTAGAGACAGAATCTCACTAGAGTGCCATGATGTCACAGCTCACAGCAACCTTCAAATCCTGGGCTTAGGCGATTATTTTGCCTCAGCCTCCCGAGTAGCTGGGACTACAGGCACCTGCCACAATGCCCAGCTATTTTTTTGTTGTAGTTTGGCCGGGGCCAGGTTTAAACCCACCACCCTTGGTATATGGGACCAGCATCCTACCCACTGAGCCACAGGCACCACCCAACAGTCCTCATTTCTGAGAACTGAAACTCCATGTCAGCCCACCACCCAGGAAGGGGATCATGAGAGCCTCTTCTGCTCACTCATGATTCAGGGCTTCAGCTTAAACCATTTAGAGTTGCTGTTTTATAAGCAATTTCATACAGCTCAGCCTGATAATTCTTTAGAAAAGATAGTATATAAATAGTATAGATAGCATATCATATATAAAGACAGATTATGATTTCTCTCATTAAGTTTTCATTTTTCCAACATCCTAGACAGAGGGATGTTTCCTTCATGTGCCCACTGAAGTTCCAGCCTTGTCTAACCTATGGATCTTGTAGTCAGAGGGCACAAATTTTTTCATGATGTCCAGCAAATCTTCATCAGCTTCTCGGCAGTGGATCACCAGAGGCTTCTTTAGAGACACAGCTAGTTGTAGCTGTCTCTCAAATACCTAGAAGACACAGTGACAACACCTGCTGGTTAGTGGCACTTTATAAGTCTGTTACCTCTGAACACCCAGTCCAGTGGGCACTCCCGCCGTCTCTAATTCTATATATTATTTTTTTTAAACAGTATGGCAACACTCCCCCTATTTTATTTTTATTTATTTATTTATTTTGGCCAGGGCTGGGTTTGAACCCACCACCTCTGGCATATGGGGCCGGCACCCTACCCTTTTGAGCTATAGGCACTGCCCAAATTCTATATATTTAAATTATGAGCCAGGTACTGTGGCTCACGCCCATAATCCTAACACTCTGGGAGGCTGAGGCAGGTGGATTGCTTGAGCTCAGGAGTTCGAGATCAGCCTGAGAAAGAGTGAAAAATAAAATAATAGCCGGGTGTTGTGGCAGGCACCTGTAGTCCCAGCTACTTGGGAGGCTGAAGCAAGAGAATCACTTAAGCCAAGGAATCTGAGGTTGCTGTGAGCTACGACACCATGACACTCTACCAAGGGTGACAAAGTGAGACTCTGTCTCCAAAAAATAAATAAATAGAGCAGCACCTGTGGCTCAGTGGGTAGGGCGTCAGCCCCATATACTAAGGGTAGCAGGTTCAAACCTGGCCTAGCCAGCTAAAACAGCAATGAGAATTGCAACAAAAAGGGGGGAATGGGTGGAGGGAGGGGGATTGGAGGGATTACTTCTGAGGTTTATCTTACGAGGGTACAAGTGACTCTTTCTAAGAGGTAGAATGTGAATGTTTTAAAACAATAACTGAGAAAATGACATGAAGGCTGTGTTGACCAGTTTGATGGAAGTATTTCAGATTGCATGTGAAAACCCCACACTGTACCCTAGAAGTGCATTAATGTACATAGTTACCATTCAATAAAAAAAGAAAAAAGATGGCTCGGTG